AAATCATTCTGAGGGATCCACTTATAGATTCTGGTGTTTTCACCAAGAGTATCTGGCTTCTCTCCACCATATCGCCATAAAACCTGCAAGCAAAACAAAACCCATTTATACAACCACATTAACAACTGATAAGTGTAGACTGAAAAAGAGATTAAAGAGCTGACCTACGAGGACTGAAAGCTTCTACTTTTCCTCTTTATCAAGAAGCAGGGTTGATAAAATATGGAAAGAATAGAAGAATGTGAGAATGGTAAATAACCTTCTGTGGAATCTGTGCCAGTGCAGAGGCGATCGTATTGCTCCTGTCTTTGGTCATGTTGTTTACCAAGGACCCCAGAGTGAAGACCACAATCCCATCATCCCCTGAACTCTGCACAAACTCCTCCATGTCCTACACAGAAAAAAAGGTGGTCAATAGGTTCTCTTTTTGCTGCAATTATTTAAATACCAAGTACTACCTATAGGCTCGTATTGTGTATGAATGCTCAAAAATAAAATGAACATTTATGCATTTACTATAATCTAGAGAAAATGTTGATCAGTTATTAGTTATTGAATGTTGTTATTCCCACTATACTCAACTTTAATAACCCTACAGTACTAACTCTTTTTTATTGTCTCTGAGAACAAAGGTACAGTTTGCTATTTTTCATGGCATAGATGTGAAAGGTAAACTTGGTGAACTTTTCGCTGAATCATCCTCTGCAAATTTAAAGGCATAGTGCAAACAAAAATGAAAATATGCTAAAAATGCACTCACCCTCATTCCATCCAAGATGTGTTTGTTTCTTCAACCTGAACAGATTTGGAGAAATTTTGCAGTATATCACTTGCTTAGCAATGGATGCTCTGCAGTGAATGGGTGCCGTCATATTGAGAGTCCAAACAGCAGATAAAAACATCACAATAATCCACAAGTAATCCAAACCACTTCAGTCCATCAATCAACATCCTGTGATGTGAAAGGCTGCATATTTGTAAGAAACAAATCCATCATTAATACGTATTTAACTTCAAATTGTTGCTTCAGGCTAAAACAGGTGTCCATAATATTGTTTTCTCAAATTAGAAATTTGTCTCATCTGAATTAAGGATAGAAATATGCACAGATCAAGCACTGTTTACATGCAAAAATAGTCCAAAACAGTTCTAAACAAATATGTGAGTGGATTTTGATGGGAAAGGACAACGTTATATAGAGGAAGCGTTATTATGCACTTGTATTTCAACTAGAAGCACTTCACAAGATGTTAATTGATGGACTGGACAGGTGTGGATTATTGTGATGTTTTTATCAGATGTTCATTCTGACGGCACCCATTCACTGCAGAGAATCCATTGGTGAGCAAGTGATGTAATGCTAAATTTCTCCAAATCTGTTCTGATGAAGAAACAAATTCAACTGCATTTTGGATGGCCTGAGGGTGAGTACATGTTCAGCAAATTTTCATTTTTGGGTGAACTATTCTTTTAATGTCCTTTAATAATTGGCTTCCTAGTTGTGACATTGTTACCTGTCGGGTTTACCATTGCTTTTTGGCTTTTCCTGGTTTAATGATACAAAGCATGTCTCTCGTGAATTTTATATCTTGTGCTGGTTTATTTTACAGAAAAAGGGGGAGACTAGTAAAAAGACAGACGCACCTTAGGTAATGGTTTGGCAGGGGAGCAGTGAAGGCCTCCAACGTATTTGAAGTTGGGCAGGAATGGCCGTGGAAACTCAAAATCCCAGTAGGTTCTGATTAACCAGATATCAGCTTTACCCATCATCTCACAATAGGAAGTGGGCCATCCTGGAATGAATGATTATTTTAAACAACAAAATTATGGCTTCTAGGTGTAAATCCCCTCATGCCCTCCCTCCCCTCCCCAGAGTATTTAACTCACCAAAATATTCAGTGTAATAGTTGTCGATTTTTTTCCACAGACTAATGGCCAAAGCATCTTGAGAAAGGTAGAAGAGCATATTTTTGATTCGCTCTGTGAAGCTCATCTTGTCCGTGAGTTTACTCATTGTTCCAGGAACAAATGATGGTGGAGCTGGTATCTGACCACACATCCGCTCTAAAGTGTTAGCGATAGAGAACCGTAATGTGTAAACTAAGGGAATGTTCAGCTTTTCAGCTAAAGCCTCGCTGCATGGATAGATCGGATCTGACAGCATGACGTCAAACTTCCCACGCTGCAGTTTGTCGATCAACGCTGGAGACTTCAGAGTACCATCACAGTATGTAAAACACAAATCTAGATCTTCAGACTAAAACATTTCCACATTCTGCAGGACTGAACACAGTGAGCAGAGAAAGAAAACAGACAACGAGTCTCATGGTTGCCAGCGATAGAGTGAGATCACTCAGTGTCCCACAATCGTATACTGTAGCACTCTGTATAATTATTAACACACAAGAGCAAAGGTATGGTTGAGATCAATCAATAAAATGTTAATGTAAAAGGTATCTACTGATTTATCTTTTTTTTTTTATGTAAGATTAAGCTATTTCTGAATGTTTTGTTGACATTAAAGCAGGAGAGGTGCTTTTTTCATCCAAATTCAGAAGCATGGTTTGCAAATTTATTTACATGACCATATTGTGAATATAGTCAAAGCTAAATGGTATGACACAATGTAGGATTTTTAGAGAGGAAAATGTAAAAAAGAAAAAAATCTATAAATTTTGAATGATTGATTTCCATTGTGTGAATATGTAATCATGTAATCCATAAAAATGCAACTGTAATCTGATTATGAGCATTATAAGATGTAATATAATCTAATTACGAGTACTTGATTTTTGGAATCGGATTACGTACATATCCAGATAATATGTAATCAGTTACAACCCATTACACAAAAGGTTCTTCACAGTGGAAAAAAATTCTTGAGATTATTCAAATGTTCTTAACACTAAGAAAATGGTTCTTCTAAAAAAAAAAAAAAAAAAAGAACACTTTTGGAACCTTTATTTTTAAGAGTATGTGATAGGAGAACGTCTTCATCAATAACATCTAAACAATGAAACTACCAAATATTCATGCTCCATCAAATTTGTTCTTATAAAAAACTAAATGTTTCAGATGATCCCACTTTTCCCCAATCCAAAATGTTCTAACTCCTCTTCCTCTGTAAAGTTACAGCATGTTGCTTTTTGAAGTATACATTTGCCTAATCTGATTACAGATCATTGGATTGTCAGTGTGCCATAAAAAAAGTGCTCTAGAGGAGAGAGCCGCTGTCCGGCCAACAATGGGCGTCCCTCCAGCCAGCGATGCACCTGCATGCACTCCAAGCAGCTCTCCTGTCTCGCACAGATAACACTTTCTACCCTCTCCTCCATGCTTCCTTTATTTTTAGGGGGGGAAATAAGGATTTATGACCCCTCCAGCCCCCTCTTTTGGAGACGGGGTCTCAGACAGAGTGGAAAAATTTAGCATGCAGCATGTGAATTGGTTTAGACGTATAAAGAGATCAGGGCTAATCAGTTGGCACCAGAGACACTTCTGCATTCAGCCTCCTTTCGGGGAGGGCAACGGAGCGCGGGAGTGAATGCATGTGAGAGAGGGAGGGAGGGAGAAGCCCATGATCTGCTCCATTGTGATAACAGATTTAGGCAGAGTGTGGGGTTCCGATAAGGAAAAGGCACACTCAATAGAAGATTAGCCGCATACTTGGAGTAGAACAGTGAAGGAGAGGAGGACACTTGGAAAGAAGAGGAGATGTGTTAGTCATGCTGAAATGGATTCTGTTTATTATTTATTATTAATTTTTACTCTCTTTTCATCACATTAACATTTGCTTTAAATATCAGTTGCTGTGTAACACAGCTCGAGTCTAATCTTAGCTGATTTATCAATTTAAAGCATGGAACTGCACAATATTTAGAAATGGACACTCTGTCAAGACAAATTTATTTAAATTTATGTTTCAAAGCAGCTTTACAGAAAATCATGATGTTAAAGGGATAGTTCACCCAAAAATGAAAATTCTGTCATTAATTACTCACCCTCATGTTGTTCGAAACCGTAAGACCTTTGTTCATCTTCGGAACACAATTTAAGATATTTTTGATGAAATATGAGGGCTCTCTGACCCTCCCATAGACAGCAAGGTAACTATATTTAGAAAATATTTACGTTTATACATTTATATATTCATATTCTGTTTAAATGTTAATTAAAACCTAAAAAAAACTGGTATTAAAATTTAATAGATACATTTTCTGTACTGATGTGAATGTAGCACAAACGCACACACTCCCACTTTTGTGCACCTGATTGGTCACGGACAAGTGTGGATTTTGACTCCAAGATGACCTCTGGCCTCAGACCAAAAGTTAAGCCGAGTCTACAATCCAATCTCTCGTGTGGCTTGGACACTTCCAGAGGTCATCACTATGGTCACACGACTCTTAAACAGCCTCTGCAGTGAACAATTAAGTGACCACAACATAAAAGCCAATCAGAGTCTTCAGAGCTGACCATTACATGCACACTGGTTCATACAAACCAGTTACAACAACAGCCACTTTAACTAACCAAACAAAAGAGTTTTTTTAGGCATTTTAATATCAAACAGACTAATAAATTAATCCAATAAATAATTTCCAAGCAATTTGATTATTGAGAAAAAACAATTTACACTTTTGAATAATGAATACACAAAAATAACCTTTGGCAAAACATATTTAATAACATTTTTCCATTTAATAAATTACAATTTAATGTACAACTAGTCACATGTGCTGAATCCATTGAAAGCATAAATAATAAATAAAAAATTCAATACAATCAAATAAATTACAGTTTCAATTCTGAGGCTGCCTTCAGTCTCAAACAAAACATTCTTGAGTGTTAATTCAGTCAAAGAAATGAAACGACATTAATACTAAAAAGTATCAGGGAGATGCTTCCCAAGTGCATCCTTGACCATGCATATGTTGTTTAGGGTTCCTGCTCAATTACAGCAGTACTGGTGATGAATAAATTGTTTCTGGGTTTCCACAGATCATTCGTTTCCAAAAAGCTCGGAAGAAATTAGTGATTGTGATGTCATAGCGAACATTCCGAGTTCCAAAAATCCAGCTTTGTCTCTCCATGGCAATGGAACGTTCAAAGACATCACAATCACAGAATCCTTTCACAGAGTGCTCACGCTTCAGTTTCGTTCTACCAGGTTTCTGAACTGTCGCAGCTGGACCCGGGTGAGGGCGGGTCGGTGTCGCTGGTCCAGGTGCGGTCGGTGCGCAACTTCTGCATGTTCCCCGTGATCAGTGTGAGGAGCGCGGCTTGCGAGTGAGCCGATGGCTCTCCTCCCTGGCTCTCCAGCAGAGTCACCAAGAAGTTGATGTAGCGCATGGCCAGCCGCAGGATCTCGTTCTTGCTGAGTTTTTTCTCGGGCGGGTGCGTGGGGATGAGTTTCCGCAGCTCTGCGAAGGCTGTGTTGACATTATGTTGGCGCCAGCGCTCACGTGTGTTGGGGAACACCTTCCTGGTCATGATACTGCGGTACTTCTGCAAAAAATAAAATATCGTTATCATACCATTGTCTGAATATTAGAGCATGGGGGAAAAGGAAAAGAATTCTATTAATAGCAACAAGTACAAACACTTACCACTTTACGTTGTCTTGAAGCTCTATGAACGTTGGAGCATCAGGCATGAAAAATCGAAAAATAGTCCAGATGGCAGGTAAAAGCAGCAATGTGTGTGTTTAGTCAAGATAAAGAGCTGTCAGGTAATGGCAGCAGTAATAATCCAGCATCCGTCCTCTCACTCTCAGAACCCTTGAACAAACTCCTCAGATGGAAAACCGGGTGAAAGAGAGCGAGGTTGTGAGGGAGGGGTGGGGTTTGGCTTGTGCTCCTCATTTTTATAGTCATGCCGCTGTGTGACGTTGCAGTGGGGGGGAATGATTTTTACATCTGCCATTAATGCGTTTAAATTGATTAACATAATGCGTCGTGTTTCCATTCACAGCTATAGCATCTGGGGGGCTAAATACAAAGAAATCCAACCTTTTACCAGCTGAACATGAAAAACAAACTGCAGTCTAGTGTTTAAACCAAACAGGGTACATTCATTTCAAATAAAAAGCTTTTGTTTCATGCATCATGTCCTGAGCTTAATCTTCAATTCACAGCAGTGTCAAAAACTCTTAGTAAATATGAATTAAAATGCTATAAATGTAAATATAAATACATACTTAATGCTTTATATAGCATATTTTTATGTAATATTTAAATATTTTAATTAATAAATCTAATTATTAGATTAATTATATGTAAATTTAATTACTTGCATCTATAAATTATATACATACATCGATATACAGTACTAAGACTTAAACTATATAGACATATTTGTAAAAAAATTAATAAAAAATCAAAAACGATCACAAAACTTTAAAATTAAAATGGTTACCATTTAAAAACCATTTTACCATATATATATACACTTTACAGTAGACTTGCCACTCACATTAATACATAGCTTGGCCATTTTGCTTTTAAATAGTTTTGACAAATATTTTAGTTTTGATGTTCCCAATTTAATCCAATAATGTATGTCAATATATTTTGCATATTTTCCACTCTCTTTAAAAGTCGTCACATTGCACATCTTTTCAAATATACCTAATAGCACTTAATGAAGCGAATATATACCATTTTTACTATTGTGAGTTTATTCATAATCTTAAAACACTTCCACATTCAGCCCACCGGGAAACAACAGAGAGGGCGGACTATTCAAAGCAGACTTATTGCCTATGAGCTCTAACAAATACGTGGCTGTTGTACAAAATGTGTTTCCCTCTTTTGTTGGGATGCTGGATGTCCACCTGCTAACAGATCTATTACAGCGACTCTGTCCAATAGTGAAGTGACACCATAATGAAAACTTTCCTCTGATTGGACAACACGGTGCCAAAAAACCCCACAGCATATTCACCCTGACAGAGTAATAATATGGGTTTTGTCTGAATGATGGTAATCTTGTTTAGCATGTCCTGGGGCTTCACATAAATTACACTAGGTTATGACAGAGGCAAGCTTGTGGATCAGCACATTCTTTGGGGCCAAGGTCTCCGAAGCCCCCTCTCGCTCTTTCCCGAACTCTCAACCTCCCTTCAGATCAAAAGCTGGTGTCTCGCTGCAGCAATTGTTGCGTTAAAAGTCTCTCTGCGAATTGTGGGGGATTTGCATAATGGGATTATGAGGGATTAGGAGTCAGGCAGAGGACAGACACAGTTAGGATGGAGCTGAATTCACGACTCCATTCATATGGACTCGACCGCTCAACACACCCTGCACCTGCAGAGCTGCCTTTCAGATCTGCCAAAAACTTCAGCGAAACGCAAACCTGCCCAAAACGAAACTCTCTCCCAATCCACACCCAAACTTTTTACCTACCTGAGTTGATGGTGATGCAATTGGCGAGATGCAATTAAACGGAGACTTCTGCTGCTCAGATGTTTCTCCTGTGAAAAACACTCCAGTAATCTCTCAGATCTGGTCCGAAGCCTGCAATCAAAAGATGTATTTGTTAATACGAATTCAAAAATTTCAAAGACCAAATGATAAGAGCTATGCAATCCAAATAAACCGAATCAAATGCAACTGATTTTATTTTAAGGAATTCCAAGACAAACCTGGACATATACTGTATATAAATATGAGAAATACAATTTTGCTTAAAAATAATATTTTAAAGTATATTATATATATAATTATAAAATAAAATAAAAATATTTTAAAAATTATATATTTAAAATACAAATACATTTATATTTTAAATATATACAGTATATTAATTGTATGAAAAATCTAATGTGAGAAATACAATTTTGATTTAAAAATAATTATAAATATATATATATATATATATATATATATATTTAGTATTTATTATTTATATTTAAAACAAAAAACATTGTAATATATTTTATTACATTATATACAGTATATTATTATGTTATTTGTATAAGGTACATAAATAAAACAAGGAAAAAAACGGAACAATAAAAAAAAAGGAAAATATCTGACTGCAAATGCAACTTACTGTAAGTGTTAGTGGTTTGTTCAGATTGCCTTAGCAAGGACCAATTAAATGCAGAAACCTTCCCCAACTGTTCCTATTTGAGCATTTAGTTGACATTGTTAAACACTGTTGACTCTGTAATAAGGGCGACAAGAGATTTGACCCAATGTTTGCAATGAAGAGAGTGGTTAAACAGGTTCAGATTTGAACAGCATGCTCTGTTCTCACAGCTTTTTTCCATCTGAAAGAGCACTGTGATTACGGTCACATTACTGTGTTTTACTGCCTCAGACTGGACACACGTCTTCCTCCCTCACAGCCCTGTGTCCAAACACTGCTGTTTTATTTGCTTTTGTTTGAGTAGGGGCAGTTCAGATGGTGTTGGGAGTTATTTATGGAGGCTGTTTGGTGTTTTACAGAGGCTGAGGCTCACGAGTTGCAGAGGGAGTGAAAGGGAGAGTGATGGAGAGAGGAAAATGCCCTGTGGGAGTGTCTGTTCTGGAGCCCATTCCTGCGAGGGGCTGCCGTCAGACTGCTGGCGTGCTGAGATAAGCCCTCAGACCCCCATCGCTCTCCCTCTCTTCCTCCTCCTCTGTCTGTGCAGCGCTTTCCCTCTGCTCTGACTGTCAGCGATAAGAAGATCGTCCTGTAATTGAATGACTATCTTTCTATCACGCTCATTTCAGAAAATAGCGAGGGGCTGGAAATGCGTATGGTGTGGGAGATAAATGAATGGCCACTGTCGCCGTAGTCCCCAATCTACATCCAGACTGGTAATTTTGAAAACGCTTTTTTAATGCCAATCAATTTAGCTTCACATACCGAATGATTTATTCAGTTCCAGACCGGCGTGACCTCCTCTAAATAAGCGGCGTCGCATCAGTAACGTGTAGCAAGAAATGTTAATTTCTCAATACAGTGTCAAGTTTGAATAGAACTCTTTCATCTGCATTCTTTACACCTGCTTCTGTGTACAGACTATAAAGCTAACAGATGCATGTGTGCATACGCTCACTCTCAACTGTAGGTCAAAGGTCAGTAGATAAAAAAAGCCACGTCATTCTGGAGTCAAAAAACAAAACCGCACTAAATACTTTTAAACAATCAAAACTCAAAACCTTCTGTTGCACCCTAAGAAGCACATTTAAAAAGACAAGTCTAGTTAAATCTAATAATCTCCTGTAATTCTAAAACGTTTTGATTAGTACATTTCAAAGACTTTTCCAGCTGTTCATTCATTTTTTTTTAAATAATGACTAAAAAAAGTTGAAATTACAAATTACTACTTTCACAAGTAGATATTAGATAGATAATAGTTGTAAAATCAAAATCATTTTAGAATTGAGCATAATTAGAAAAATACATATTCACTGTATTTACCATATTAAACAATGACTATGAGAACCCTGTAAAAAAACGATAAGATAAATAATACAAATACTAAATAAAAAAAAGCATTTTAATAAAAAAAAATAATTAATATATTCATAAATCAATTTTTTATTCATTTATGATTTTTTAAATAGCAAGCATTAATTCATAGCTATATATACTAAAATATTTTAAAGTTGAGCAAAATTTAAAAATACATCTTCAATTTTCAAGATTTCATACATTTTCATGGCATTTCAAGTCCTGGAAAACAAAATGTGTAAATTTTCGCAACTGTGGGTACCCTCTAAAAAATAAATAATAATACAAATATTAAATCTAACAAAATGTGTGTTTATTTTGTAATCATGTCAATTTGAAATATATAAAAAGAAATGTTTGATTTGACGGTTTCTTTTTCTTTTTTTTTATTGCAACTGCCATTCTGATATAAATACTGATATAAATACACCTAAAGGGTGATAGTTTAAACATTAATATGTACTAATTATTGGAACAAAATCTACATTTATTATAAACCATTCATTTTATAAATTTACTATAAATTATATACATATATTTTAACGGACATATGACTGAACTGTATTAATGTAACATTACATTCTACATGAAAACTGAAAATACAGATGAGCGTGAGAAATATTCTAAAATATCACTCAAGCGAGTGATATACTTAACATAAAGTAGCAAAACTTGCTCAGAAAAATCTCAGTCTGGTCTGTCCATCATTTCTGCCTGGAACTCGCTCACATAGCAGTCTTCCTCTCTTGCAGTGCGGCAGCACTGGGAATAAACACACAGACACAGAATGATAGAGCAAAACTCTCCTGCCCTCCGGATACCACGAATTGTTTCGTGCTGAATTTCTTTTAAAGAGAAAGTTCATAGAAATACTTTGAAAAAAGACAGTACAGAGAAAGTCAATGGGATTTCTATGCACTGTTACATAAATAAATAAATAAATACAAAATCAGTATTTTTCAAAGTGGTAAGTAAAATATTTATTAGTGTATTAATTACAATAATATTGTTAATTATTGTGGTATGCTTTACAAAAAATACTTTCAAAAATACTTACAAAAAATACTTCATTCTTTTTCACTAAATTTCATGTTCAATTCAATGTGTTACTTGCCTTTTTATTAAATAATTAATGTAAAATGAGCGAACATTAACACCAATTCTGAGCAAAATTTAACACAACTAATGTTTTTCTGTGTGGAGCTAAATTAATTTATTTACAACACATTATTCTCAAATGCCTAAGTTAATTCACATTTGCAAGAAAGTTTATATATTTACAAACAGCAATTCATAAACTCATGCAAATATATAAACGTTTTGTGAAAAAACTCTGGGAAATCTATTTCAATTTAATAAAAATGTTCTAAAGAAGTTTCTTTCTAATCATGACAAATGTTTGATTTGACAGCTTTTTACATTTTCTTTCGTAATCAAATTCCATTAACTGTCTTTAGAACAAATAATACTGCAAATACACATAATTAGCTCATGCATTTGTAAATCATATTTTCTCAAATGAATTGAGAGACTATTATTAAATGTTGTTTAAAATGTAATGTTTGTGTTCCACAGAAGAAAGGAAGTCATGCATGTTAGAAATGTGTGTGTATCTGTACCACTGTGCACATCTTCTCCTCCTCGCCTCTTCCTCTCCTCTCCTGTCTTGTTGGGCAGATGATTCTCAGGTGAGCTCCAGTGAGTCTGACTCTGCGGTCTAGAGCTGAATCCACACGCAGTGTTTCTGCCTCCCAGCACTTCAGGAGTGGGCAGAGGAGCCAAGGGAACATGGGCAGACCCTCGTGGAACAACTCGGCCTGGCATGAGATCTGGGTTTTGAATGAATCCTTCACCCTGTAGCTGCCAGACGCTCGCTGTAGTTGAACCTCTGCTGAACTGGCTTGGCGTTAATGGGTTGTATGAGTGAAAATGAGCTGTATCCTTTCCTCTCAAGCTGTTATGACCTGCTAATGTGAATAAGAAGCAATTTAAATGATTGCACTGAAATAAATACAAATTTTTGCATTTAAACAGGGTCCAAAATTTACTTTTGCCAACAACCACATTTGCAGACCATATACAGAATATTTCTAACTAGCCAGTAAAATATATTTAGCATTATGATTATTGTAATAAAAGTACAAATATTAAATATAAACACATAAATATACTTCTAGTCAAAAGTTTACAATAATTAAGATTTTTAATGCTCACCAAGGCTGCATTTATTTGATCAAAAATACAGTAAGAGGTTCAAACAATTTGTCTTCTTTAAAACACTAAGACCGACAAATCAGCTCTGTAAACTGGCTAGGCGGCGTCTTATCCTCCAGCTGTATCTGTAGTTTAACAGGATCCTGTTCCCAAAAGGGAGAGTGAGTTCGGCTGTTTATGTTTGAGAAGGGTTTAGTCTCACTCTTTTTGACATTGGACTCAGCTGTGATGTCACTAAAGAGCTGCGGAAAAACAAAAGAGTGTGAAAATGTCAACAAGCTTTATTAACCAACAGTGTACCCTGTGATAGTTTGATCTTGAATACTAGTGAAACAGTGCTGGGCAACAATTAAATTTTTTAATCGCGATTAATCGCATGGTTTTCTGCGATTAACCATGATTAATCGCACTGTTATGCACAAAATTCAATAATGAATTCAAAAGTATTGTATTGTGCACTTTTTTCATTTAAAAGTACTGCTATATGAACAAAAGTGCAATAACATTTGGTTGGAAACACTTTACATTTTAAAGTTTTTTTTTTTTGGTGCTAGAAACATTTTAGACCTGTCATTTACCTCTGTGGGCTGCACACTGAGCCAGTCTCTATCCAACCAGCTCAGTCCATCTCTCTCCGAGTTCATCAGCGTATGTAAGGAGATCTTATAGATGTAGCTGGCTATCTTTTCTTCCTCACACACCAGTAACACCTAAAACACATACATATGCCATGATCTAAAAATGTACACAGACTTTGAATGCTAAATACTTTTTAATAGAGCATTCAACAGAGGAAATATTACATCTGGCCTTGGCATAACCTTTAAAAACACTGACATTTGTTTTGAGGTCTGTTATCGTTAATTGAAATAAATGAGTAAGAAAATACCTTGACATCAAACTTCTCAGACTTGTTTCCAAACAACACAGATGCAGAGTAGATATGAAGCAGATTGATATAAATGTTACTGGAAATCCTTAAAAGTGGGGAAAAACAGGAAATAAAACAAATTTATGGGATTATGGGATTTTATGGGATAATACAAGACGTCTTCAGTTTACAAATGGTTGCCAAAAGCAAACATGCTATGAAATGCATCATACACTGCGATAAAGTGCTAGAGCAAAACAGGACAATTTTTGGAATTACTAAGAAAACAAGTATTGGATTTCACCCAGCAAATATAATGCAGGGTGATTGTTAACATGATCAGACAGATGTAAATGTATTTCAAACTGACAGTGCCCTGTGGTTCTCAGTGCAGTGCAGAATGACCCAGCAGCGGCTGAACTGCAGAGAGAGGACTGTGAGTCTCATGACGACACGCTCAGACGCCACTCCAATCCTCATGTCCAACTCACTCAGCTCCTGAACACAGACACACAGGATTTACACGTTCAGGGTCACTTTGTGAATGGTAGAGCAAGTGTGTATATAGAGCGTCACCTGGATGAGGATGGCAGTGTTCTCGTCCACAGTGATGACATCATAATGGGTTCCACCCAGCTGCAGTGCAGATGGAGAGTGTTTCCTCTCCAGCAGAACCATATTGTACCTGCCAACAACAGTTTTTGTACATCAGCATACACTCTTAACAATAAATGAAACCTTTAATATCCGTGGAATCTTTCCATTCCACAACAGGTTCTATATAGTGAAAAATAGGATTCTTTTGATGCTTAAAATGTTCTTCAGGCTAAGAAAAAAAAACTATCATTTAAAAACTGTTAATTGAAAAGTGAACCAAAAATGGTTCTTCTATGGCATCACTGCAAAAACCCCTTTGGGACCTTTATTTTTTAAAGTATATACATTATATATACATAGTTTTGAATGCAAGAATAGAATGCTGCAGGAATGGGTCCTAAAACAAGGAAACAATTTTGTTTCCTTGTTTTAGGCCACTTCCAGTTCCACTGTTCCAAAGTCAATTGGGTATCCGAATGGGTTTTTGGTTAAATGCCTGAAATAAGGTCTGTGGTTAACAGCCCAACATATTTTCACAATTTATTTAGTGACATAAAATACATCAGTAATACCCTACTCGAGATTTTTTTTAAAAGTGGTTGCTAAAAAGTGGCTATATGGGACTACAGAGGTTTTAAGTGCACATTAAACGAGGGAAACTCACCATCTTTCTAGTCCACTATTACAGCCTCATTGCGTTTATAAGCGGTGTTGCAAACTATTCTCAATCAAATGTTTCCGTTTGTAGATTTTAAATCAAGACTAAAAGAGCTGTCAAAGCTTAGTGGTGGTGAACCATGCAATTGTGGTATAGTTTTATTATAGTTTAACTCATATACAGTGGGTACGGAAAGTATTCAGACCCCCTTAAATTTTTCACTCTTTGTTATATTGCAGCCATTTGCTAAAATCATTTAAGTTAATTTTTTTTCCTCATTAATGTACGCACTATATTTCTACTATTGCAAAAGCTCCACATCTCAATGTGTCAGACTTCACACGCTAACCACCTAATTTTGCCTACTTTTTAAAACAATGACGAAGTAGTTGGCAGAAACTATTGAGTAACTCACATTGTCTCCAGTGTGCGTTGCATCTTTAAGCGTCTCAGTAAACCATCAGTGACGAGCAACACAAATGGAATAGTGTCCAGATATGATGCAGAAATAGATTCGTCTGAGAAATCTGCAAATGAATGATTCAAATAACCAAACACAAAAATGCAATATATTCCAACACTGAAAAGTAAACAGGATTATCATTGAACCTTATTTTGATATTTTATCAGTCAAAATACACTATGTACTTGCAAATGTTTAACATTGTGTTTGAATGCTGTTAAAATATATGAACTATATATCTTGCATGCTAATTTTTTGTTCCCAGGGCCATAACAAGCAACAGGACATTTTACCAAACACTTGGATTCTATTTCTGCAGCGTCAAGTTGAGAACTAAACCTGAAACCTGCTCCACATAATTGTGCATTAAACATCAACATCATGTGAGCATTAGGTTTGTTGAACTGACTGGATTCAGGCACTGCAGTGGAGAAGGAGATAAAGTTGACGTTTCTCTCTGAACACACACTGCCGAAGGGTAAATGACCCACAGGTTGAAGCTCAAACACTATGCTGAAACTCTGCCACGGGAAGTCAGGACCAACGTGCTGACTGCACACAACAAGACACCTACTGCAGGAGAGTCTGAGGAGAGAGGAGGCAGAAAATAGATAATACATTAAATCAGACCATATACACAGACTTCCTGTATTAGAAACAAAAAAAAGAAGATCTATACACCTGTCCATCACTTCTCTGCTCACAACTTTACTCTTTCCTTCATTGGGGATGACTTCAGACACAGAGTTTCCTAAACACACGCACACACAGAATTAGACAGGACACTCACCACATAGTACCTGTCTTATAAAATCTGAAGGGTTCTTGAAAAGTTAACTCACCTCGTGCCTGGTTGAGAGCTACAAGCAACTCTGTGTTTACACGGTTCACTGTCAAAACTAGAACCTGCTCACATTCAACAACAATCATTAAACACTCACATTCTGCAAAATCTGCTTTGTTTGAAAAGTACGCTGTCAAGTAAATTTTATTTCTATAGTGCTTTTTACAACACACATTTTTCAGCTTTCAGAATCATGATGTTAATATTTATAATATCATGCCTTATATTCGATAACATATTTTACATTGAGATTTGCTATATAGTATATATTGGTTCATGTGAGCGTACTGTATATATGCAAATAAAGTTCAACTTTACGTAATGCTGTGTTATAATTTAGTTTAAACTCTGTAAATCTCACTTTAATGTTGTGGTTAGAATGGGAATTCATCCATGTGTTGATTTGCTCCTGGAGCTCCAGAAGTTTAGGATTGGGTTCTCGTCTCTTCTGACTCAGATAATGCAGCACCTCAAACTTTCTCAACAGCTCATCCAGACAGCTCAGAGCACAGGAATCCTTCACATTAGCCAGGTAATCTAAACAAAGGAAGATTTTACAGGCGTGTGAGCTACACTATAATGATTAAAACACAAATTAGATCTGTTTATGCCAGACAGCAATGTCACAGAATTTGGCATAATTTAGATTAATAAAGGAAAAGGTAGGGTAGAAAGTACTTTTCCAATAATAATAATAGTAATATTACTATTATTAAAAAGTTTGAAGGAATTTTACTAAATTTTTCTTCCCTGTTTTAATTCAAACAGTAAACATCTGTTGTGCAGAACTTTGTTTGCCAGTTAATTTTATGACATTTTAAAATATTAAATTTATAATGTTTTATGCCTTCATTTGATTACCACTGTTTTTGATCATGATTTTGTACTGAATCATAAATCCAGAAAAATTATAACGTTTTAATTCAAACAGTAAATATCTGTTGTGCAGAACTTTGTTCGCCAGTTAATTTTATGACATTTTAAAAGATTAAATTGATAATGTTTTATGCCTTCATTTGATTACCACTGTTTTTGATCATGATTTTGTACTGAATCATAAATCCAGAAAAATTATAACAGACAACGCAGAAAAAGAAAAAGAAAAAATTTCATAGGGCCCTATTGGGCAGAGAAATTCAAAACAGTTTCATGAACTCAATTGATTAGACATGCTTTTTGACTATTAAAAAAAATAATAAAATGTTCCTCTCAGCAATATTAGACCATTTTCTATGAGACATGAGTGTTTTTTCTCAGATATTTACCAGTGGCTGTGCTGAGGTCACATGTGAGAAGAACATGTTCCTTCAGCGTGACCAGAATATGTAGAAGTGTCATTTCATTAAGCCCACTGTCCCCATCTGCCACAAAAATAACACAAAACGTTTCTCTGCAAAAACCATCATGTAATGATCTTTGGCTATTTCACATTGTTCTGTGCATTGTTAGTTATAATGTGTGAGAAGGTGACTCCTCTGACTCTGTTCTGTCCGAAGCATTCTCTCTTGCTGCTTTACGAGGAATCTTGTGAGTTCAGAAGACAGAGTACCAAAGTCTCTGTTGTTCAAAGCAGAGATGCCCAGCTCCTGCATTTTACTCAGAGAGGGCAGAGCCAACGCCTGCAGCTCCCTATATGCATCTCTTTGACACTCTACAGGAATAAATACAGAAATATGGCGATTCATTACTCAAACCAAACAAATAAATGATTATGAATGAACAAAAAACATGTATTTTGTGCTTACAATCATTTTTATGCAATATTCAAGATCTGAAGGCAATGATACCTGTGGCGTGGACGTATACGGTCTTGCTGATGGTCTCTTGTTTCTCTTCACGGGGAAAGCTCGTCTCAGCGGCAATGACACTGCTTTCTGTTTCTGAGATGTGATTCGCTGTTTTTATTCTGTTCTCTAGCAAGGCTTTTCCTGTAGAATTCTGACTCACATTTACCTCTGAAAGAAATTCAACTATTAGACGGAATAAGATACTTATGTTTCAGTCAGTGTATAACTAACAACAAAATATGTCAGGAAGGTCCTCCAAACATTGTTGTTCCTTACAACATGAAATCCCGATGGACAAAATCAAGTTCCTACCTACATTTTTTTTTGCTCAGAAGTCATTTCACTTGGATATATGTTACAATAAGGAAGAAAAGTTGCAATAAACACTATTAATTCTCTCACTCTACCTGCAGATGTTGGACTGCTCCGCTGAGGTTTTTGCATTGGACATTTTTTCTGCAACTTTGTTCTTAATGTCAGAAAAGACGACAAAGGGTTCAGGTCTTCATGAGACAGAACTACAGAATTATTTCTCTTTCTGCCTCTCAAACAGTTTGATAATGGAGATGATTTAGAGATCATATCTTCTCTTCTCTGTTCTGACTGCTTATGAAGTGTTTGTATATTGGATATCACTTCAATATATTTAACACTGGGCTTCAGTGGAGAAGACTTAGACATCTCAATCACTTTAGAGAGGACGGGCTGCTGTTCTGAAGGACTTATGGAAGAATTCCCAGAGCATCTTTCTGCTGGACTAGACTTGTGTTGTTTTAGCTCTGCAGCTTTACAGTCTCCTCTGGTTGTTGTCATTGTAGAACTGTCTTGTTGGTGAGACTCCATTATAAAGAACTTCACAGTCGTACCTCTATCCACCTGTGTAGGTACAGCTGACTGCAGTGGTTTACTCTGGGAAAGGTGAACTGCAGTGGGACGACCTGAAGATGGCAGTGCTGAGAAACCAAAATAACATTTATAGATCTCTTTTTTCCCCCACAAAGATGAAAGGAATAGTCCATGTTTGGTACAAGTTGTGCTCAATAAACAGCACTTATATTGAAACTTATATTGTATTATTTGAGCTGAAAAGTTGTTGTTTTCTTTTTCTCTATATATACAGACATATATACAGATATATTTACACAAAAAAAGATTAGTAAGTGATTACTACTAAAATTCTACTTGATTACTACTTGATTCACACTAAAATCAAGTTAACACTAGAGCCTGACCGATATGGGTTTTTTGGGGCCGATACCGATACCGATATTAGGGAGTAAAAAAGGCCGATATCGATAAATCGGCCGATATTCTTTGTGTATATTATAGTACAGTACCAGTCAAAAGTTTGGACACTTTCCCATTCGTGTGTCCACACATTTGACTGGTACTATATATAGAATACAGTACATACATAAACAGAGTATATATACATGAACACATTTTTTGCAATAATCACTCAAATGTGGTGATCAAACACTTATAATGACGTGACAGAGATATGTAATGATGGAGGCAGGGCATTTAACAAGATTAGAGTGTTGTGTTGAATGTAACGCCCCACTTCGCAGGGCACTTATGGTTGAACAAGACAACGCTTGAATGCTGCTGCCTGAACAAGTCCTTACTGAAGTGAAAGTGTTGACTGGTGTCACTATCTCGCGAACGCGCC